GACGGGTCCTCTCTCTGTTGTAAAAGCCATACAAATTCAACAGTTTTGACAGCCCTAAGTGACGTTATCCACCAATTGAATGGGACCACTGAGCCGATCAAAGCTTTGCTAGGCCGGAAGGTGGGGCTAGAGTAGAATGGACAGCTCATTCAGTTAAGCGGCTGGTGCAACTTCTAATCCATAAACGTGACTAACACCCCAACTAGGAACTTCGACACAATTTTATGCGTTAAAACACGCCAAAGGAGAACAAGACTGGTATCAAAAGCAACTAAATGTATTACGCTTAAAAGTGTTACTTGGTTACGGTCGTACGGCCGACGTAGATAGAAATGGAGAATAAACGCAAAAATAATACTTTTGTCGCAGGTCCCAATAGTAAAGTGTACGGAGCAAGTAATCCTTAGCGAAAGCCGCGATGACCCTGACGGTGGATGCGCTTAGAAACGCAACAATCACCAAGCTAAGTCTGAGTTAATAAAAGAAAACGGATGACACCAGAATAAGAGGTTTACTATATACAGAACCCGAACTTGCTGTCTCAGACGGCAATATATGCTGGCAACGCCACAGCATATGATGACAGTGTGAAGTGAAGCTTGACAGAGACTGTGGTGTCAGCCACCCTTATCGTGATGTCAGTAACTCTGGAACAGCTCGAAGGGAAAGTGAATAACCTTGATGAAGCGGGGTGGGGGCGGAACAAAGACGCCAGGCAGCGTAATACGGGCTATCGGCTACGGAGTCGCGGTCAGCATCGCGTAAACTACTAGGTCCGGCAAGCGGGGCAAGACTGCTTCAATGTCGGCCGTGTTGAGCCGAAACCGACCGAGCGAAGGCTGGTGGCGTGATTCAAATGTGCCAAGGTCATTCAACAACCAATCAAATACTAGGACTAACCAACCCCCGCCCTCGCGACGCTACGCGCGGAAAACACGCCACCAACGCTGACAGTGAACAAGTGACTACGCGAAACGATGCATCTGCGACGAGAAGTCTAGCACGATGGCCCCGATCGCGTCAGCAGTCCATTAATGGGACCAGCTGAAGAACCCGGAGTCACCGCTATACAGCAGCAGCATCTACCACTCCGTTTAAGGGGGCCAGAAATAACCAAAAGGGATGTAACACGAAAGGGTAAA